ACAAGATCTCAAGACGACTATAGAAGATAAGAAACTCCGGGATACAGCGACGCTGCAAGCGACTTCGTCGAGGCAGGAGGTTTCGTCTGTCACGTCCCAGCAACTGACCAACGGCAGTCGACTCTGGGCTCAGCTGGAACGAACTCCTGCAACCCGAAGCACGAAACGTCTCGATTCCAGTTCGCAAATACGAAAATCCTTTCGTACGAACCTGGAATGGCCGTTTTGCATCTTCCTTTGAAAAACCTTGCGAACTCGGGAAGCCGCTTGGATAGTTCAGGTTTTTTAGCTTCGTTTGGGAGATGCTGATGGCAGCAAAGTTCATGGCGGTTCAAGCGAAAGATCGTGTTTCAGGCTTGCTATTGGAAGATAATGCAGTAGTGGTGTTTCACTAAGAGCCGCACCCATCGCTTTCGCTCGCTAGTGTGTGAGCGCCTTTCGAGGCTGTCGACACGATTGCGCGCCTGTCACTGCTGAAAGGCCACGCGCGAGGACTTAGAGGCAAACACTGCTATCTAGCCATGGCTGGAAGGCGACGAAGGGCAAGCGTTCACTCGACGTCTGGATTCTCACTTCGTGATTTCATCACTGGTACCCACATCGACAAGCTACAGCCAACGCCACCGCTACACTACCGCACCTTCACCAATGCAACGCTGGTTCAGCGGTCGTAAAGACGCTTCCGACGAGGACGGCGACTTTGAACCATCAACTCCACCCGGATCGCCACCGACACAAGTTGGAGAGAATCCAGGGAGAACGATCGTCCCGCAACCTTCAGTAGAAGGTCCACCCGCTCAACGACGGCGCTTGCTGCCTTCGATGCAATCGGCCGTACCAAGTAGCGCTTCGGCGATCGGACACGATCTACGAGCGCCGTTCGCCAGCCATTCGTCGCCAACGATCCATGAACATTTTGGTGTCTTGGGCGGCGGGCCAAATCCAACGCCTGAAGTGCCAAACCGAGTGCATTCGGTTCTGCCGGCACCGGTGCCGCCTTTACCAGTGAATCCAGCTACCTTAGCTCCAACAACACGCATGGCGGAGTTTCCGGCATCAACCGATTGCCACAGGCCTTGGTATGGCGAGACGACAGACCCGGCAGGGATATCCCCGCCCCAACCGAACAGGGTGCCCCAATATCCCGTTCCAATGCTTCCGCCGCCCCAGCCTCTCCTCGCATCTGGTGTCCCTGCCAAAGTTGCATTTGCTGTGAGTAATTATCAACCAAAAGATGGGTTTGAGCTCGTTGCTCAAGGTCCCACAGAGCGGTCGTTCATCTACAAGTGGGGGGTACGTGTTCGACACGTAAGTGACCTGACTGTGTGCGGCTGGATCTGTCTCGCAAGCGAGCACTGCCGTTCCAACGAAAGTGTTCATGTGTTGTACGGTGGGAAGACATCGCGCGCAACGAAGCACCTAAAAGAAGTCCATCATGTTACTTCAACCAAGTCTGCGCTGGAGGATTCACGCAGGCGAACCAGGGACGAGATCGTAGCTCGTATCCGAGCGGCTGCCCAAAACCAAGAAAGCTGTGAGCGTATCAGCCTGCTTCTTCACACACTGCTTGTGATACACAACAACCTTCCGTTTATCATGGGTGAGTGGGAGGAATCGAGGATTTTGCGAGCCATCGTCACCAAAGACAGCTTTCAAGCCGTGGTGAATCGCAGAACAATTACCCACGCTGTGATCGAGCTCTACGTATCGGCTAAGCGCGAATTGATTCGCTTCATTATCGACAACTGCATCCCAGGTGTGAAGTGTTTAGTGATGGTCGCTGACTTTTGGAAGGCAAAGAGCTCGGGCACGAAGTTTCTTGGACTTCGACTGTACTTCGTCACTGCAGACTTCAAGCTCGTCTCCGTCTTGCTAGGAATGCGACACTTTCAACCTCTCTACGGTGAGCGTGATGGTGGAATTCGCGGACCTTTTAAGCGGTGGATCATTCAAATTCTCGCGGATTTTGGACTTACTGTTGCAGACTTCTTCGGAGCGACTACGGACGGTGGTCCAGACGTTCAGCACATGATGACATCGAACCTGATGCTCTCATGGGAGTGGTGCATGCCTCACCTAACCAACGCGGCAACTAAAGCAGCGTTTGGGATAACGAGAATTGTAGCAAAGTCCAAGAACCCCGAGAGGCTCCAGCTGCTGAAGAAGGTGACGCGAACTGTCTACCAAGTCCGCACAGTGGAGGTCATGGGCGACTTGTACAAGCAGCTTGTCCGCCTCCTTGGCGTCGGAAAGGAGAAGAAGCTGATTGACTATAAGCCGCATCGCTTCATGAGCCTTACGCGCGTCTTTGAGCGCATTGTGAAGCATTGGAACGTACTTTGCCTGTGGTATGAAGAACGTGCACGCAAGGCGGATAGAGACAAATCGGCACCTCCGTCTCCGTTTCCTTTGGCAGGAGACAAGTTGCTTATGGAGCAGCTACTCTCACTGATGCTGCCGATTTCAGCGCTCAATGTGAAAAGTCAGGCAGAAAAACCGAATCAAGTCGACGTTCTCGTCTCTGCGTACAAGGTTATCGTCACGACACTTGGTCCCGAGGCATCACTACGCAAGTATGATGCTACGCGAGAGAACCCGACTTCGTATCACCACAGTACCCTCATGCCGCTTGTGGTCAAGACCCGAGAGTTGCTGAGTGACGCTTTCCACTCTCGCTTTTTTCGCGCTACACTGACCGCGGAGTGATGCGAATGTGCTCGTACGTGTGGGAGATGCAAATGCTGCTTCATCCGAATCTCAAACAACCCGACGGCGCGTTGATGGATATGGTGAAAACCTGCGGCAAGCTGCGCCGGCTGGATGACGATGTCATTCGGCGCAACCAGTCAGTCGTGAAATCTACTGTGAAGCAGAAGCTGAGGTCTATCATGCGAGATCTAGCGCCACCTTGCACCGAGCAGATCAACACCTCGCCGCAGCAGATACCAGGATATGTATCCGATGCCTTCTCGGACGATCTATCGGAGCTCTTCAATATCCGTACCATTGCCGCAGAGCCAGCTACTCCACAACTACTTCACGAAGAGGTCATGGATGAAGAACTGGAGCGCTGGTTTCGCGATCCGTCATTTCTTCAGGCAACGGCCAAAGGCCCAGAGTCGGTGCTGCACTTTTGGAAGCGTCAACAGGAGTCCGGCACCTACAGATTCTTACCAAGCGCGGCTCGGATCGTTTTTGCCGTTCCTGCATCGTCCGCTCAAATTGAACGCGACTTCGGAATCAGCGGTCAAATGGTTACTGTGCAGCGAGCATCACTGTCCTCAGAGTACATTGACATGTGCTCTTTCCTGAATCGGAACAGGGGATTCATTGATGTAACGCAGTGCTCAAAGCTGACAGCGGAGGAAGCACGAGAATCCGTTCCTACAAACGTCACGGTGAACCTTGACCCTCAAACGGCGATGGAAATGTTCGAGAGCGACTGAGAGCAGGCCTTGGTCAACTCTTTCTCTGCGCATATTTCGACTGAGCTCTAAGACAACCCAGTTGCCTCAACGCACAGTAACATTGAATATACATCTCTCCTTCACATTGGTATACTGCTGCATTAAAGAGATGTGAAAGCTATCATTCTAGGCGAACTCTGTTCCTTACTTCTGTCAAAGCATTATCCTACCTCGGCTATGGCTAACGTCGCGGCGCGCCATTTCTGCTTGCTTTGTTACGGCATTCGTTGACTCGTGCTTCAATTCTTCTAGTTAATGCCCGCATCGCGTCGGCACGAGCACATTCGAGAGCTGATCGATTTGTTTTGTGTCGCGGATGAGCCTCTTGTTTCGGGGCTACCAAAGCTGGTTTAGCAGCCGTAGCTCGTGATTGCTTCCTAGTGTGCGCACGGCCCCGGCATCTCTCCTCGGACGAGAACGATTCGCATTTCTCAGTGCGGTTATCAGCGGTGAGGACAGCCCCATCCGAACGCTCCATTGATGCTTCAGTTGGAGCGGTAGCTAGTGCAATAGCACTAATATCACGCCCGTGTCGCTGTGGCAAGCTGGAGGTTTTGACTGGCGCACCTGTTGAAGTTGAACCAACAGCGTTGGCTCCGGTACCAATAGCCACTTGTAGATTGTCGTCGGCGGGATTGTTGGTAACTTCTAGGATGTTGTTTGCCTTAAGCACATCCATTGCCACTGCGCTCGAAATGAACGTGCTCATCCGATTATCCAGCCGCTCTTCCATTGCCTTCATGGATTTATTCGTTTTCGCGGCATCAGTCGATCTCGAAGTACGCAAGGCTGCCATTAAGCGCGCCTCAAGTTGCTTCATGGCATCTGCCTGAGTCACCTGGAGCTGTTGATGGTGATTGTTTTGCGTGTGCAAGATGCGAGCCTCTGACTGTAACACTTCGGCGACAACCTGCTTCGTAGTATCGGTCGAGAGCTGAGCAGTAGAAGCCTGAAGAAGATCGTTCAAATGAAGCTCCAGTCTGGAGCCAATGCCACTTTGTAAATCATGCTGAGCGCGAAGCTGAAAGGCGTGCATATTTTCATTAAGTCTTGCCTCTGTCACCCTCAATCGGTCAGAAGTTTGAAGCTCGACTGCTTTCAGGGCAGCATCAAGTGAGAGCTGCATCCGTTTCTCCACTTCTGCGACTTCTTCGTCAACTACGGTGTGAAGGTGAGTTTCACACGCTTGAATTTTGTCACCAACAACGTTCACGAGGCCCTCCGTGTCTGCCTTCGCCCGAATTTCTACTGCAGCACAAGACTCAGCCAAAGCCGTCACCGCTTCATCTAGTTTGAGCTCCATACGAGTCTCCAGTTGCGTAATACGATCTATTGTATGTTCACGTTCGGTCGCAATTTCCTCCTCGAGAAGTACCTTAGTGCCATCGATGCTGGCCCTGGTCTGGCAGGACACGGATTCTTCAAGCCAATGACGGGTGGAATCTGTAGTCTCGCTGAAATGAGCTTGGCAGGCTTGCAGCTGCGCTGCGCCAGAATATTCTTGAGCAGCACGAGCATGGGCGTCGTAGCTTTCTAAGGCCGCTTCAAGCTGCGAGTGTACACGCCCCACTACTTCGTCAGTGTAAGCGATGTGAGAGCGAGCCGCATCCGTAGCTGCTGTCATTACCACTGACTGCGTCGCTCTTAGCGCATCTTCAAGCTGGTTTTGTAGTCGTGTCTCCACGTCAGCGAGTGTCCCGCATGTGGAGCTCATGAAGCGCTCCATGCGCCGCTCCATGTCGGCCGCATGTTGCTGTGCGCGCGTTTCGACATGGGCAAGTGCGCTCTGAACAACTTCAAGCACTGGGTGACCCGCTACCATGAGCTCCTCCTGCAGCATGACGCGTCGACGCTGTACAAGCTGGTGTTCTGAATGATAGTAGTCTGCATTCTGCTCTTGCGACTGTGGGGTTGAGTCTTGATGGTCCGATGCCTCCGACTGCAAGCATAGTTGGTCACTTGGGCTACGCATACCCGTCAAAGCTGCCATTGCATGCAGCATCTTGGGCTCCGTGGGCTGCTCCAGCGACCGGTGTTTCGCGCGCTCTCAAAAGGCCGCTCAAAGCAACCTGTGTTTTGGCCAATAGTGACCGCGAAGTATGAGCATGTTCGTTCGTTTCAAGTGTGCTCGCGACTCAATGTAACTGCACACGCGAGACCATAAAACCTCGAGAACCAGGTTCCTGGGGTTTTATCGGTTCGCTGAAAGCAGCGGGAACCAAGGTTCGGTTTAACCCTTCTAGCCCCAGACCTTAATCTGTATCCTACAGAATAAGCATTAGACTTGATTAAAGTATACTTCAAAACCTGTCAAAGATTTGCTGTTGGAAGCCCTTTCGCATCTTGCGGTCAAGCGCTGGGTACATTGTGCACAGAACAGCTACGAAAGTGAACAAAACATGCTCAATGTATCCACCATATGCCGAAATGGCGAGCTTCTATTGGTCGTGGCGAGCGTAGAGCACGCTCAAAACCTGCTACATGGTAATACCTTGCAAGGCTGCTAAGGCAGCATACTTCGGCTCCAGCCACCCATCTTCGACACGTCGCGATAAACGCGGAGGAAGAAATCGCCCTGTTCCTAACTGACGTAGTGAGGAGGAACTGGGCGAATTCTTCCTTGTGTTTGACATTAGCGCATCATTAGATTGCATTTTCATTTTCGCGTTCTCATCAAGTTGTTCGAGTCGTGCATGCAAGCTGTGCTGTGGTCCATGCAGCCTCACGTAAATGTATTATACTGTAGCTGCTGTATTTGCGAAAGCTACAAAATCTGTGGAGCTTCTATTATAGACGGTGGTTTCCAGTGAGAGCGAGAACTACCAATGGGGCCATCTGGCCGCACTTGGCTCTCTTCCGACATGTCAATACTTCATATGTAGCAAGAATTTGTGCGACTATCCTGTGATCGTACTTAATCGAAGTGGTGTGTGACTTTTGGAGCTAGGCGGGGCGACCGTTCATCGTGCCCCCGAATCTGAACGCCGCCTTGACCATGGATCCGTACGCCGACATGCTCATCAATCCAGACGCCATCACAACCACAAATCCAGACGCCAACATGCCCACGAGCCCAGACGCCACCTTGACCACGGGTCCGAATGCCGACATGCTCACGAACCCGGACGCTGCGGATCTCGCCAGTCAGGTGCAAGCGTCAAGCATAATGTGATCCGCCAGAAGACTGTGTGTGGAATATGTCGTTATGTAGCATGGCTTTACAAGAACCAAAGAAATGTTCTGAGCGATGCATTTCTTGGAGCCTTGCAAGATGACGACTTCGACCCTAACGAGTTGGAGATGACGTCGCTAAAACAGAGCAGCATTGCTGACTTCATGACTGAGAATCCTGGGGTACCTCCTATTAACTATGATCAGCATCGCGCTGACGACTTCGAGCAGTTCCTGCTGTCTCTTCGGAACCGTAGCGGAGATAAACCTGGTCAATCCGTTTACGACTCGATGCGTTCAAGTTTGTTTCATTTGTATCGAGGATATGGGCGGTCGATGACACCAGAGTTTGCTGCTGATTTGACGGTATTTTTCAAAGGCCTGAAACGCACTGTTGCGCGGCGCAACCACGATGCTGGTGTGAAGCTGACAGAGGGGAAGGAGCCCATGTCATTTTCGCTATTGCGCTCTCTCTGTGCTGCGTTTATCAAGCATGGTGACGAAGAATTTCTTTTTGCGCACGCATTTCTACTGTTGAGTTGGAATTTGATGTGTCGCGCGGGCAACACGGCTTCAATTCATTCCGGTCATATGAGCTGGGATGGAGACGCGCTCGCAATTCTTTTCGGGCACATGAAAAACGACCAAGACGGCTCCCGGCCTCGCGATGCAAGGCACGTGTATGCGAACCCCTTTGTCCCTGAAATCTGCCCAGTGTTTACGCTAGCGATGTATGCTGCTGCACTGGGAATCGACGATTCTAAGATATTCCTCGGTGGTAACCCATACGATCGATTCTCAAAGATTTTAAAGCGCGTCATGCAGGAAGACGAGATGAAGGTATTGCTTGAAAATGAAGGATTGGTACCTTCAGATATTGGAACACATTCCGCGCGAAAAGGTTCAGCGACCTTTGTTTCTTCGTGCTCAAATGGGGGTCCCTCTGCTGCGGCTATATGTATCAGAGCTGGTTGGAAGCTACTCGGTGTGCAGGACACCTACACTCGTTACGAGTCTGCTGGTGATTGCATTGTTGGACGTTATGTGACTGGCTTACCGTTTGATGATACTGGTTTTGCTATATTACCGCCATTTTTCCCCGACTTTGATGATCTCGTTCACGATAGTATTCATTTATGTTTCGACAATTTGCCACCTCATTTACTACGCGCTGGCGGCTTTCTTTTGGCGTCTCTAGTGTATCACGCTGAATATCTACGAACCACGCTGAGTGAGCAGCATCCATTGAATCGCAACGCGCTTTTCGGAAATACCAGACTAGTTTCCCAGTTGCAACAGAAAGTGGTTTGCCGAACGGCACGTCCATCAGATCGAATAAGGCCTACTGGTGTACCTTCGCACGTTCATTTGATGGCACCGATGAGCAGCAAGCGGCGCAGCTACAGCAGCTATCATTGCCGGTTAGTGAACTGGCGCCCACTGTGGTGCAGTTGATGAGAGAAGAAATGTCCCGTTGTCGATCTTCTTTGTCGTCAACAGAGCTTAATGCCAGTATATCGCGGGCGCTTAATGACTGTGGAATAGCTGAGCTAGTTGCAGCGGTCCGAAGCCATTTACCCCAGCCATTGGGTTGCACTACAGAAGATTCTCAGGACCGCCTAGATGTAGATGATAACGATGGAGTCCAAATGGCTACACAACACCTGACTCTTACGAACTCAAGATTGACGCGAGCACCTGCTGATTTTACTATTCCCAGCATGTCGTTAAGGTGTGCTTGGGAGCACTGACCCATCTGGGCGAATTGGTCCATATCGCTTCCTGCAGTGGCAGGACCTTTCCACTTGTGGGAAGCGGAAGACGCTCTCAGCCTATCGGTGTATGATGATGGAGATACAAGCCAAAGTTCCGCGAGGCTGCTGGATATCAACCCCAACTGTGCAGCAGGCTCGCGAAATGCTTCAAGGCGCTATTCCGAAGCTTCGTATCAGCGATGTAACACCAAAATATCGTCAAAGGCGCAAAGATCAGCTCAAATGGTCTACTGCATTGAACGAGATTCGAGAAAATCGCGTGGGTTAGCGTCGAAACACCAACACACGTGCATAGAAGCAAAAGATAATTCAGCTCGTCTTACCTCACGTCGTTGATGCAGTTGCCGAGGACGAGTAATATGGAGCCTAATGGGCGCTGGTGTAGCCAGGGTGCCTGGCCACGGGTTCACGCTGCATTATACAAAGGCAATGCGCGACGACGCACTACTACCTGTCGCCTCGAACTTGTGGCTGTATAAACTGCGGTTGTTATGCGCCTGTGTGGTATTGAGTTTCGAGGTTCACAGTAGTTTTTCTGTGCGTTTGACGCACACGAATTCGTAACGACTCTGCATTTCCACCAGCTTAACAGCAGTTTGTATGGAAAGGTCGTCGCGGGCAAAAAGAATTCGTGTGCGCGCAGACGCAAAACGTTTTGATACAAAAATGAGGTCAGACGCACACGAATTCAAGAGAATCTTGCACAGCGGCGGCTCTACACGAACAGCCAAACGACACCGTACCATCTCGGACAGGGATCCCCAAATGTGTGTTGCCAGCTGGAAAGCTGGCACGGTACGTGCTCTCTTCGTCGAGTCGAGCGGTTGACGGGCCGTCAATGACGGCCACAAGGAAAGAGGCACAGATGGCGCTCGAAACCAATACAGTCGGTATGTGCGTCGGCGAGTCTGGTGGTTGATCTCGCTGTTTGCCTGACGTCAACCAGCTCACTTGTCCATTTACCACCAACAGCACAAGTCCTTCCTCCCTCCTCCACTACCAAGATGCGCTTTTCCCTCGCCCTCCTCCTCCTCGTCGCCCCCGCGCTCGTGAACGCGACTCTGTCCCCGTGCCACGCCAACGTGAAGGGCAAGTGCCCCAAGCTGCACAACTGCAAGGTGACCAAGGTCTCCACGGCCATCCAGGCCGCCGAGTGCTCGCACAACACGCGCACCCACAACAAGCAGACGTACGCTGTCTTCAAGCAGGACCACCAGTACGACGGCAACCACGGCTACCCGTACGGCGACTGCTACGCCTACACGTGCAAGATCAATAGCAAGATGGTCGCCAATAAAGACTGCTGGACATTCCTCTGGGACACCAACGTCAAGGTCAACGGCACCAAGCCCGGCGTCGGCACGGGCTGCATCAAGGACCCCAACACGAGCGAGTGCGGGTGCGAGGACTCGAAGACGGGCAAGTTCCACGTCAACAAGAGCGACTGCGTCTAAGCCGCCACAAAACATTCATCAGTCGAGTCGATGTAATAGTGCGCCGTCGCCATGATAGAACACGCATTTGTACATGTATGTTCACCCCTCCCACCTTTTCTTATCGTACAGTAGAGCAACTTCTCGTCTCCTGAAAATAGTGCTTGGTAAAATACAACACTAGAGAGAGAGAGAGGGTCAGATCGTCTATTGAGTTGCTACTTTTCACTGCTAAGACGTCTGTTAGGGGCTCGATCTTCAACCATGACTCGTTCATGTTTTAAAATACAGCACTTTCTTGTCCCTTTTTCGTAAAATATTAGCAGAACCATGACAAGCAAACATTCCTGGGCTCGGACTGCAGACTGCGCTGGAACTGCAGCCTCTCATTATTAGTCCCGCTGGCTGGTTGCCATGACGTCGCGCCTGCTCTCCGGCCGCGCGCGGCGGTCGCTCACAGCTCTCGCGCTGCTCTCCGGCGGCGCCTACGCGGCAGACGAAGCGAACGCGTAATGAATGCCATCCATCGCTCACTTCATGCTATTAACTCGCCTTCTCCTCGGCGCTCTGACGACCGACATCCTGTCGTGTACTTCCTGTGTATGTGTGTGTGTGTGTGTGTTTTCATTTCGCCAGTAAAATCTTCTCCCGGTCGATGCGCGTGTTCGTCACGGGGGGTCAAGTGGTCTGGGACTACCGACGCCACTTCAAAGGCACGGAGAGGGACGACCCGGACTACCGCCTCAAGCTGCAGGGTCTCAACCAGCGCATCGCCCAGCGGCTGCTGCACCTGTGCTTCCAGAACGGGGGCATCTACACCAAGTTCGGGCAGCAGCTGGCCACGTTCAACCACGGACTGCCCAAGGAGTACACGGAGACGCTGGCGCAGCTGCAGGACCAAGCCAAGTCCGTGTCCTTCGACAGGGCCATGCAAACCATCGAGGCGGAGATGGGGCGACCCTGGCAGGAGGTTTTCAAGGAGTTCGACCAGACACCGATCGCATCCGCGTCGCTGGCTCAGGTGCATCACGCTGTGGACCACCAGGGCCGGGAGCTGGCGGTGAAAGTGCAGTACCCGCACCTCGAGGCGCAGATGCAAGCGGACATCCGAGTCATCAAGTGGGCCTTCCAGCTTACCGAGTATTACTTCCCTGACGTCCAGATCCAGTGGCTCTACCCCGAGTTCAAGCGCGCGCTGCTGTCGGAGGTAAGTTGCGAACACTTGTACACTAAACGATAAGGGGTTACAGTGCCTCACTATTTACTTGTTTGATGATGTGAAGCTGGATTTTGAGAACGAGAAAAACAATAGCCGGCGTATTGCAGCGTGTCTGAAGCACAACAGCACTGTGCACGTGCCTGTCGTGTACGACGAGTTGAGCACGAAGCGGATGATGTCGATGGAGTTTACCGCGGCGCCCAAGATCTCTCAGATTGATGCCATCAAAGACCTTGGCCTCGATCCGCCTCAAGTCGCGCGTGCCCTGTGTGAAGTGTTCAGCGAAATGGTGTTCTGCCATGGGTTTGTTCACTGTGACCCGCATGCAGGCAACATCTTTGTGCGCCGCAATCCCGACCCCCGAGCCAAACGCAACGAGCAGCTCGTTCTGCTCGACCATGGACTCTACCGTGAGCTGGATGGGGAATTCCGCAAGACCTATTGTGATTTGTGGCGAGCCATGCTCATGCGGGACAGCGCTCTCCTAGAAGATTGCGGCAAGAGGCTGAATGTTGGAGAACTCGCCAAGTACTTGCCCCTGCTGTTCACGTACCGGACGATTAATCACAGGGGGCGTCTGGACGCGTCGATGAGCGAATCGGAACGCAATGCGCTTTCCGAAGACCTCAAGAGCATGCGCTTCTCTAATGTACGTTGCCTATAAGCCGTACCATGTCTTAGAGGATCTGTTGTGGGGTCTAACTAACTGGCGCTGAAATTGCACAGGTCACTGACTTTCTAGAGCAGCTTCCGAGGGACATGCTGTTTGTCTTCCGGATGAACAACATGATCCGGGCTCTAAACAAGGAGTTGGGAGGGACCACAAGGTACGGGCTAATACGGCATTTGTGGTGCCTTGGCTTGGCAATACTGATAATGCATTGCATGCTTTGTTCAATGTAGGGAGAGGTTTTCAATCATGGGCGATTATGCCGTTAGTGGACATTCCTCGTTCTACTCTAGTTCATCTGAAGCGGGGCTTGCCCGGATCTGGGGTACACTAGGCTACTGGTGGGAGCACATGAACCTCGTTTTGCGCCTCCGCGTCCTGGATTACGTTATGGCTGCTATCCAGTACGCCAAGGGAGGGCCTCCAGCGAAGATTAAGCGTGTAGGGTGAAAAGATGTTTCATGCTCACCGAAATCTCGAGAACTATGAGAATGAAAATAAATAATTTTGACTTCAAAGACCATGACAGTTGACATCATCGAATGAGTTTGTTCATGGCTGTCGAGAAGCGAGGTGACCGGGTCTTGGACTGTGAGGACCGAGGTGTCGTGGGTGCGACCGGAGAGAAATCGGCTCTTCGAGGCTCGCTCAGCCCTTGAGAAACCGATTGAAGAGTATCTCGTGGCGACCGTGACAACGAAGGTAAGGCTGGGATTGCTACTGCGAGCTTTCGTCGAGGTGTCTTAGCGAACGCCACACTCGTCGACGCTTTCCGAGGCTCATCGTGCAATGCAAAAAGACTTCCAGAGCCTATAGAAGAACCTATTTGGGCTGCTTGGCCTGGCGGCTTCCGTTGTCGGAGTATGTAGGGTTGCTTTGAGTTCTCGAAAAACGACATGATTTTCTCTCGTAGCCGGGGGAAGTCGAATGGAATCATGGCAAAGTACAGTGCCCCGTGAGCAAGACACTCCAATGCAACTTGCTGCGTTTTACCAGGCTCGTCGGTATTGCCACCGAAGAGAACCACCCTGTTGCCCACCTGTCGTTGGATCGCTTGGAGCTTGGCGAGTGCTGTGTCGAGCTCAGTGCCAATGTCAAAACACACCTAAAAGTTCACAATCAGCAAGTTGAATGGGAAGCATTTGTTGAACAACAAACTTTTGGCGTACATCTTCGTACCAGATCAGTGTCGAAGCCTTCATGCGACCTTAACAACTGGAACAGGTCGCTCTCGACTTTCGTGATAAGGACCGTCCCCAGGCCCAAGAGCTGGATGTAGCGCCCTGTCACGGGCACATTCGTCGCGCTTGGAGAGCCACCAACCACGATCTTGGGCACCTTCGGCTCCATTGAAATGGGCCTGTCACAACGATAAATAATGAGCTACCTCCAACCTATCACACGCGTAGATATAGTACCTCTCCGCGTACACCCTTGATTCGGCGGGACTTCCTTCAACGTTGTTTTCGTCAAACTCAATCGCAATATTCAGTGCGTCACGAGTTGTGTTCTCATCGGAGGTGTCATGGTGGTCTGTATCGCCTACAGAGGTATCGATCTCTAGCCCGGTATTTGGACGACCGTGCCGGGAGGTTGCCGTCAGCCTGTTCCGCTTGGAATCATCAGATATAGACGCATCTGTGGCTTCAACTGGCGGACCCAAACTCAAACCTTCTTCGACAACCTTGTTTTCTGAAGTATCCTCCACTGCGTTATCTTGAATCGAGATCGAGATCGTGAGCTTGGGTTTGGGTTTGTGGCTCGAAGCTGACAGTTTTTCTTGGTGAGCTCTGGTAGAATGCCCCGAATGCTCTGAATGTTCAGATTCTACTGCAGCCGATGAAGTCTTAACGGGAGGTGCGGGTGCAGTTGGGTGTGAAGCCTTATCATGGTGCTTCTTCTTCTTCGCTTTCTTTGTCTTCTCACTGACGTCCTGACTTACTTCATCCTTTACTGGAGCTTTTACTGGCTCATGAGGTACTTGAGGTAAGGACTCTTCAACTGGACCAGGTGGTCTGCTCTCAGTTTCTTGGGGGGTCCCAACGGTTGGAATATGAACAGCGATGGCTCGACTGGGTTTGCGCTGGATTGGGCTTGAGTTTTTCCTCCCGGGAGATTTGGTCACGACTTCAGCAGCTTCATCTTCAACATCTGCATCCTTAGCCAAGAGTGAAAGAAATTCCTCGTCCCCACGCTTGGTGCCCAGAAGTTTTACCTCGTCAATCGATTTGAGCTCGTGGAAATCGTGCTGGATGTAGTCATTGACCTTGTTGCCTTGTACTGCCCCCTCCATCCAGCGCTGAGCCTCTTGAACTATGGACTCACCAGTCCCCGTCACTACAGACGCGTAAAAGCCATCGTACACTTCTTCGACGTCTTTCTCGTCTTCCACAATGATTCCATGCACACCTAACTCGAACTTTATCTGCTCCAGCATGACCGCAGCGAGTGTTTTCAGGCTCTCGCCATCTCGCAACACCAACAGGTCGTACAGAGCGTTGTACCGGTCTCTCACTGCGTCGTCTGAGCCCTTAATTGCAGCTACATCCACACCAAACTTGACTAACTCGCTTCGAATTACAGGCAAATCCGTTTGCCGCTCGATCAAAATCGCCTTCTCTATCAAAAACGTCGAGCGCAGTGCATTCACCACGCCGGCATCGGCGAGCTGCAAGTCGTGAATCGTGTGAAGAGGTTGGATGGAGCTAGGGCTGCCTTCCTTTTGTCCTCGGGCTCCTTGCGGCTTGTCAACAGGTCTTGCGCTTAAAGAAGTACTGCCGAGGTTGTAGGCTGCAGCCAGGTTGCTGTCTCGTGCAAGTGGACCCGAATGATTGATACCATTCTCGACGAATGGTTCATTCGTACTGCCTCCCGTGACTGCTTGGGCTTGTCTAGTTTCACCACTCTTTCCGAAATGTTCGCTTCCACCAACACCCTGTGCAGACAGAGGTCCGCTACTGGCTGGGTTGCTCCCAACGGAGCGACTGTCCCCAGAGCTGTCGACATCGCCCACTCCACTATCGGATACTTGGTGCTTTTCCTGAGCAGCATCTCCAGCTATTACAGAACTTCCACCTGGACGAGGGCCAGCTCCGCTCGGCAGTCTGCGCAAGACGTTATTTTCCAGGGTGTAGTTGAGATTCTCGAACTGGAGCGCGATGGTTATGAACATGGCGAGGAGCGTCTGCAGGTCCTGCCCAATCTTGCGCATTTCGCTCAGCCCTTCAGGGAGAACGCCCCCGTTCTTCCGTTGGATAAAGTCGGCTCGCTCGCGCTCCACCACTTTCGGGTCTGCTCGCGCCAGGTCCCCAACGGTTGAAATACCCGTACCAGCGACAACGTGAACGACAGACACGAACCGAGGAATCGTGCGTAACGGGATGGACTTCACCACGACTTCGGGCTCAAAGTTGTCCGACAGAGCGAGCTTCAACTCCGCTCCATCCAGAAACACGACAACTCGGCGAGTTATTCTCCGCGCGAGCAAGTGGAGGAAGCGCTCGTAAGTGGCCTCCTCCACATCGCACGTCCAAACGTCAACGAGCTCGAAGACTGCGGCGAAGAACTGGTCGAAGGTCAGCGTCTTCCCGTGGTGGCTGTCCACCTCCCAGTCGCACTGGATCTGCTTGTGCGCTAGCTCCAGCACGAAATCGTCCCGCAGCACCTTGAAGATCAGCAGCATGAGCGCCATGTAGTCTTCTTCGTCCAGTTCTTCCAGGGGTGGGAGCAGAGACTTGATGTCCTTGGCTGCTCCTACCCGACGAACACTTAGCTGGTCTCGTCGATCCCGCCCTTGTTTGTTGTTCTCCTCCAGTTGCTGCTTTCGCATGTGCTGGGCCATCTCCGCCCGCTTCTTCCCGCCCGCCACCTCCCACAGAAACTCAATGCGGTTCTTGACCAGCTCGGAGAATCGCAGCGCTCGGCGTTTGGCCATCGCGCTGGCCTCGTTGAAGTCTTTGTCCCCTTGCAGGTGGAACGGGAGGTCGCTCGAGCTGACCGAGAGGAACACGGAGCGCTGGTGGTCGAACTGCGCATCTTCGCGCGGCTCCGAGTAGCTCACGGACTGCAGATCGGTCAGGACCTTGAACGACGTCTGTCTGGCGAGCGACCCACCGGGGGACGTTGCAGGCGCGGGCGTGCGCAGTCGAGCGCCATCGGATGTGATGGCCACGCCCTGGATGTGCTGGTTGAGCTGCAGAACGAGATTGAGGTCGTTGAAGATTCCGCTCGCAGCCATCGGAACGCTTCGGTCGACTCGAGTCCTCAGTCTGTCGCCATGGCTGAGTCGGGTCGCGCAGGAATAGGCAGGCAGGAGCAGCAGAAGAAGCTTGATTCAAGTCGTTTCACGACGGCGCTATACATAAACCCTCAACGGAAGTCTGGCTGGGGCGAGATTTCTCTCCGTCTGCCGTGCAGGATCCCGCGCGAACGGAGCGATCGTCTCGCAGAACTGCTCCATCCTTCCTTCCGTTGTGCCGATCGCTGGAAATCGCCCCCTCCAAGGAAAAGGATGCCGCGGATGTTCAACTTCTCGCTGCGCCACAGCAGCGACAAAAGCTTCTCCGGTACGGTCAGTCACTCGGTTAACTTTGTTTGTTCTGGGCGCTGCACTCATGACGCTTCACTGGCACAGAGGCAATCATCGACCAAATGTGCCAGGACCTCGCTGCCGAGTCGGACGACATCATCAGCCAGGCAAAGAACGCGCTAGCACGAATGCAGTGCTACGAGGGGTGTCTGCACCTGATCCAAAAAGTGAGGGCCCCAGCTAAAATCTACTGATGCTACTCGGCGTATAAGGCGCGCTAACGTTTGCAAATGCCTCTTACTCAGACTATTCGCGAGCCGCACAATGAGGACCTCAAGGCGGAGCTGATCACAAAGTTGGCTCCAAATATCAGCACGATCCGAGGTTTCTACGAGCTCGCCATCGATATCGGTACGAGGCACCAGATCGAGAGTGCTCTTATTGAAAGCCTTTGAGTTTAACTGCTTTGCGTGGTTGGCCGCCGCAGAAACGATTTTCGCGGCGCTAGTCCAGATATCCAGCCAGAAATGTACGATGCAACTTGTATTCGTCCGGGCATAGAATTCTACACACTGACAGTGGGCTTTGCCCTCCGCGTACGCAGCAACCAAGAAGGCGGCAGGTTTCCTGATGGAAAAGATTGCGAGTCTCGTAGAATTCGCCGTGAGCTTCGACAGCCTCAAGGCAAAGACGCCCGACATTCAGAACGACCTGAGCCACTTCAGACGGTTCATTGCAGTAAACGCCGCGATCTCGAACCAACTCGAAAGGTGCGTTCACGCCAGGCATTTACTAGTGGAAATCATCGAGTGTGTATCTCACATTCTTGACTGTTCTAGCCTCACCGACGCCCCGCTCAATGCCATGTCATTTTTCGTGGCCGACCACGTCCCCATGCTGAAGGTGCTGGTCCGAGCGGTCGAAATCGCCATGACCAAGGAGCCGGCAGCAGTAGACGTCTCAGCTATGCTTGCGAACTCCCGGTGTTCCTCTATGTCCGGTAGCAGGTTAGTTAGTGTTCACTCTTTGGCTGAGTGGTCTATTGTTTGTTGACGCAGAGTTTGTTGGAGCAGGCCAAAGGATGGTCGACCGATGATGAACTACCTGCGCGCCATGACGGGCGCCATCATCGTATACGACCACACCGCCCTTCACGGCGCGTTCAGCTCCAAGTCGGAAGTGAAGGTACGATTCAAGCCTCTGGTGGTAATCGAGTGCATGAGGAAATCTAACTTTCTGATGGCCAAACTGTGTTCAGATCAAGCGGTGCGTGAAGGAACTCGTGCAGTGGAAACACAACGCCCACGGAGCAACATCGGAATTGCTCAACACCATCAAGTACTGCAGTCTGCACTACAACGACTCCTCAACTCCCGACAAGATCCGGGCACTAATGGACAAGTAGTTAAAACTACACAGATTGTGTCGCTACTTAGAACTTTTCAACTACTGAAAATAATGTGTAGCCATCTTTCGTCTACAATCCTGTCTAATCGAATGGGGTTTAACAAACACTCCTTCATGTTCGCTTAAGTACGCCAGAAATTCTACCTCCTTCTTCCAGAAGCTGCCGGCTCGAGGAAAGATGGTGAAGCTCTTCTGTGCGATCGTTGGCGTGGCGGGCAGCGCGTTCGAGGTGGATATCGACGAGGGTGCATCGGTTTCCGCGTTGAAGAAGGCGATCTAGGCGGAGAGCGACGGGTTGATCAGAGCTGAAGATCCTTGGACGAAGCTGCAGCTCTTCCTGGCGCAGACGGCGGACGGCGCGTGGCTCGAGTCCGACTCAGAAGATGTGAAGAAGCTGAAGAAGGGCGAGAAGACTGTCGCAGTTGAGGCTTTAACAAGCGAAGAGAAGGAGCTACAGGCGGAGTCTGGCCTGCAGAAAGTGTTGAAGGGCATGCAGAAGCCATCAACGGACCAGATCCACGTGCTGGTGGTGGTTCCGGGTCATGTTCGCGTTGACATTGGTGGAACTGCTTCCAGAGCGCTGAAATATAAGCGTACGTATTCTGGCCCCTAATTGTTTGAATATGTTGTTGCTAATTTCTTGTGTAGAGCAGGATTCAGACGGTGGATCATCAACGCTCAATGCTTCGTTCCTGCCATATTGGCGGTCATTACAATCATTGTTTTGGCCTATGGAGAGAATCCAACCGACGAAAAAGGATGTTTAACAGTTCCTGGCCGCTCGCTTATCGTGTGTCAGATGATTGGTGTTGATATTGCGATGGGGGCGATTCTGTCATATTCGCAACATTGGAAATCGAAGCTTGACAACATGATCGAGGGAGCGAAGGACGAGACACCGTTAAAAGCCCAGCGACAAGAAATGACCGACCTGACTTTTGCTGCTGAAGCCCAGCATCAAGAATTGACCGAGCACACTTCGCTGCTTCCTGCTACTGAAGCTCAGCGACAACCTCAACAACAACAACCCTCACAGAGCACAAAGAGAAACAGAGGAAGAGGAAAGAGGAAATGAATAATTTAATGGAAGCATGGTGTCTTCAACTTCTCAATTACCAAGTATTTGTTGATCGATCGTGATAAATATAAAGTTAGTAATATAGTAACATGGCGTACTCTCCTGAGCAATACCAAGCTAGCAAGGAACGCATCAAAGCAGCACATTACCAGCGCACAGGCGAAGCCCGTTTATCTTATCAAAAAGACTACGATGACAAGAATAGACCAGATTCGAGCTCGCAAGCGTAAGCCCAAAACCGAACTTATTGATGGTGAAGTCGAACTTAATAATGAAACCAAACTTAATTAATTAATTTATTTTTTTCTCAAAAAGTCAATCCCAATATAGTCAAAGACAATGGCTTAAAACCTCCAAAAAGGTATAAGCCAAATATTTGAATTAATTAATTTCAGAATATTTTGTAAATGACTAAGATATAAAGTCGATCCTGATACAAGGTCAAATAATTATAAAGTCATATCTACGGAGAATAATATAGTCAAGCATATATAGGCAACATGTTTGCATACGAACTCGAAGGATTAAAGATTAAATATTCAACCCATTCGATAGGGTAGTAGCTACCGTATTAAGGTACGTGGCAAGATGGGGCGCATGGTATACATTAGCAACATTTCCCACCCCACCAACCAAAAATTGGTAGCGAAGCAGTACCAGATCAGTCTAGGCAAGCTCCAAAAGAATGTGGCTGCTGATTTCAAGGAAGACAGTAAGTACCGCTTCTACCAAGGCAAGAACATGGAGTCGCACCTCTACGAGGGAATTCAGCCTGCTGAGTTCTACGACAAGCTCGAGAACGTGCTCGCAACCCAGAAGTCTGCCTTCAAGGTCAACATCGCTCTTGGATACAAGCTTGTCAGCAGAACTGATGACAGCGAGACTCGCTACTTCCATCCGAATATTAGCAACACGTCTGTATTTAGCACTCCTGTAGCTATCAACAGCAAGGCTGATATTCGTAAGAAGGTGATCTCGGAGATTCGCTCCATGGAGTTGGCTGACAAGCTCAACTACCCCAGCTCCGGGTACATGGTGAAGGGGATTACTGACTTCAAAATCTATATCTACCAACGCGACCATGCTCTGGGTGATAGCGAGGCTGTCATTCCTAAGGTGATTCGTGATAACAAGCACGTCATCAACTTCCCCAAGACGAACAGCAAGTGTGTCTTCCACTGCATTGCTTATCACAAGCAGGAGGGAGCCAAGAAGGATCCTCGCAGAATCCAGGCTCTGGTGAAACAAGCCTTCAAGCAGTACTGTTCGTACAAGGAGATCACCTACACTCTGGGTCTGTTCCGCAATTTCAAGCCTATCGACATTCTCCAATTCGATGAGCTTGAGGAGTGCTTCAAGCTGAACATCAACGTCTTCAACATGGATGTTGAGACGGGCAAGGTTGAATGCATTCGCTGCTCGGACAAGGACTATGATTCGATCAACATCCTGTCGCACGAGAATCACGCTCTCTACATCACGAACGTTGATATGCTCCAGCAGAAGTACCAATGCTCTACGTGTGAGATGGTGTTTGTTAGCTCTGATAAGCTACGCAACCTCACTAAGAACCAATGCGAACTCGTGAACATCGAATCGTTCCCAGCTCAGCCAACCATCTACCAACCCGCTCCGAACAGCATTCGTTCCATGCTGACTAAGTACTCCATCAAGGATGCTGACCATTACATCGATCACTTCATTGTCTATGATTTTGAGGCTATCCTCAAGCCTACGGGTGTTAAAAACGGAGAGAATACTATCTTCACAAACGAACACATTCCTGTGTATGTTTCCGTGGCCGACAGCTTGACTGAGGAGGTGCGATGCTTTGTCAGCGATGACCCGAAGGAGTTGCTCAAGGATATGTTCCAGTACATCAAGGAAGTTGCGGCTAAGATTCAGCAGTACAACGTCTCGAAGTACGAGTCTTTGCTCCGCAAAATCATCAATGTCCATGGTTTGACTGACGCTGAGGTTCCTGGTCTAGACTTGGGTAAGACGTACAAGATGGATGATGTTAATGCTTGGATTCAGAACGGGGAGTTTGCTTGTTTCTTCGATTTCCACACCAAGCTCACATTCGGTAAGAAGCGCTCGGATTATGGCAAGCTGAAGCAGTGCATTGGTCAGGTACCAGTATTCGTATTCAACTCTGGACGCTACGACATCAACCTTATCAAGGCGGACCTGTTTGCAGTCATCGGTACTGACAAGATCACATCAGTCATCAAGAACCCTAGCTACATGTGCATCGCCACGTCAGACATGAAAATGCTTGACATTAGCAACTATGTTCCAACAGGCACCGGCTATGCAAAGTACTTATCGACATATCTCGGTGAGTGCAAGTGTGATGACAAGATTCGATGCGTCTGTGGCCTAGGAAAAGGCATCTTCCCGTACGAGTACATTACTTCATTTGACGTACTCAGTCAGCCGGAAGTCCCTCCTAAGTCGGCGTTCGACAGTGCTCTTCGTAGCACTAGCATCAGCGATGAGGACTATGCGCGGGTACAGTTCGTCTGGGAACACTATGGCATGAAGTCAATCAAGGATCTACTCATTTGGTACAACAACCTCGATGTAGTACCCTTCATCAAGGCCATCAAAGCCCAGCGAGAACTATTCAAACGTTTCGAACTTGATATGTTCACTGATGGTGTGTCGCTACCTGGTCTCTCTGAGAAAGTCATGTATCAGACGTGCTTCAACAACCTCCAGCAACCAAGTAAGGAGCCTGCTGAAGCGTTTGACTTTCCCGCTAGTCGCTTAAGTGGATATAAGACCCAGGATGCTGATGCCGATCGTGAATTCAATATGACGCTAGAACACCTCAACGACTTGCTAGAGCGACAAAAGTACCTGTGTGGGCTATGCTACAAGCAACTCACAGCTGATACTGCCTCGGCTGACCGAATCAATAACAAGCTCGGACACATCGATGGTAATATCTTGATCAGCTGTGTGGGATGCAACGTTGCTCGCAAGAACATGTCGCTAAAGGGCTTCCGCCGCAAGAAGCTATTTGAATTCAACTCAGACAGGTTGGTGTACAGAGGAGAAGGACATCTACACCAAGATGAAGGCGAACATTGCTGGTGGTCCTTCTATCATCTTCAACAGATACGCGAAACGCAACGAGACCAAGATTCGAGGGGGTAGGATCTGCAAAAAGATCATCGGCTACGATGCTAATGCTCTGTATTTGTGGGCTCTTGGTAATGAGATGCCATGTGGACGGTTGACTACCATCGAAGCATACACAGGGATCGTCGATGATATTGTAAATGACAAGATCTTTGGCTTCCTCGAGTGTGATATCCGTACACCAGAGCACCTCAAACCCTACTTCAGTGAAATGACCCCAATTTTCAAGAACACCCTTATCGACTGCAGCGATCGGAGTGTCATCGGTCAGCACATGTTCGAGTACAACGAGGAGCGCAAGCAAAGCCGAGCAAAGCCGGCTCGCAAACTCATCGGGAGCTACTTTGGCGAGAAGACCCTCATTTATGCACCGCTACTCAAATGGTACATTTCTCATGGTATGAAGATCACCAAGACTTACAGCTTCATCAAGGCTAGCTCTCACAAGGCATTTGCACCATTCATGGAAGCCGTATCGAGCGCGCGACGAGAGGGTGATGAAAATGTTAAATCCATCTGTAAGATCATTATTGAGAAGGTATCTGACTCTGATATGGATGATTTAGTCCAAGAGTTGAAAACAATCATTACGAACCCTAAATCATTTGATGCGCTAATTATCGATAGATTCATGAATGAATCGACAACCAATCCTAAGATTCATTTGGTTCTAGACTTGTTGACTAAGCTGAAAACGCTTAGTGAGGGTAGCAATAATAAGGCTATGATTACTGAGATGATGAAACTGGTTGGTAATAGTGCGTTTGGTCGATCTGGCATGGACATGAGCAAGCACAAGGAGGTCAGGTATGAGTCGGACGATAAGGCAATCAAGGCCAAGATTGAGCACTTCACCTTCCATGGAATGGAAGAGCTGAATGATTCATGTGAATTCACTATGAAGAAGCGAAAGATCAACAATAAGAACCCAATTCATCTATCGATTGCAATCTATCAGCTCGCTAAGCTCCGTATGTTGCAATTCTACTATGATTGCATTGACTTCTACTTCGACCGTTCGGAATTCCAGTACCAAGAAATGGACAAAGACTCGGCTTATATTGCGTTCAGCTGTGAGAAGCCATTCTTGAGTGTATCAAGCCCGAGCTTCGTGAGCATTTTCAGCAGCATAAGTACGAGTGGTTCCCACGTGATTATAGCGAAGAGATGGCTCAGTTTGATCGCCGAACGCCAGGTTTGTTCAAGGATGAGTGGTCTGGTGATGCTATGGTATCATTGTCCTCTAAGAACTACATTTGCTACCTACCAGAAGAATCTTACAAAGTCAAAGTTTCCGCGAAGGGAGTGCAGCAGAATGGTGGTCGAAACGGTAATATCCTCAACCCAGATGGCTTTGAATCAGTTGTTCGCGGTCGCATCTCGCTACAGGGCACCAACAAGGGGTTTAGACTCAGTAAGGAGAGTAAATCAATCATTACATACACCCAGACTAAAACAGCTCTAAACTACTACTACGACAAGGTCGTGTACTTGCGGATGGTATCACCACCGAACCGCTAGACATATAAGCAACTACCTGGCAGGGGATTTTTTTGTTTTATAACCATATAGAGCGATGGATCAGCTGTTGTCCAAAATATACTATGACCCCAAAACGGGCTATGTGGGTGCCCAAGCCTTGTACCAGAAGGCTAAAGAACTGGAGCCGAAGATTACGATGAAAATCGTCAAGGATGGTACTCAAACCAGAGCGATATTCAGCGATTTCAGGAGCAAAAGAAGCGATACGATGGGTTCAAAATCGCATCGACTAACCCCAATTCGTGGCAGATGGACTTGGCGTTTTGGGAGAAAAGACCAATCTTGACTGCGATCAACATCAACTCTCGCCTAGGCTACGCAAAACTACTAACCAACAAAACTGGCCCGACCGTACTAGCAGCAATTAGGGTTTTTGTCCGCCTCCATAAGGTTGACATTCTCACAACCGATAATGGTTCAGAATTCATGAACCAACAGGCTCAGAAATTATTCAAAACTAAGCAAATTGACCATTTCAACAATGAGCCTGGAGATCACGCCAAAATGGGTAAAATTGAACGCTTCAATAGAACTCTGAAGCAGCGCCTTGTCAAAATCGAACCAAAGCGACTAACCCAGAAGCTCATAGCTGCTGTTATTGAGAACTACAATAGCACAACCCATCGGACGATTGGTATGACCCCCAACGAAGCTAAAGGTAAGGTAATTGAATCTGAACTAGTCCACAACCAGGCTGAAACCGAGAGGATTGAAAACGAGTTCGAGGTCGGTGAAAAGGTTTTGTATCGACTAAAAAAGAAAACATTTGATAAAGAAGCAGCAAGATGGTCTAAGGCTGTGTATTCGGTGGTAGGTATTGATGGCTACCGCATCCAAATCAAGTCGAAAAACGGACACACTCTTTATAAGGGGCCAAACGATCTAAAAATTGTTAAAGCAGAAACATTTGAAGCTACTATCAACAGAGGTGATATTTTAGAGGTGGAGAAGATCTTAGACCACGAAAAGATGCGATCCGGCAAGTACAAGTATCTCGTTCAGTGGGTCGGTAATGAACTTGACTCCTGAGCCACAAGATAATCTTAGATTAGTCAATAAGAACAAGAGATCAACCTTAGAGAATGAGTACTGGAAGTCGATAAAAAATGAGTCGAACTAGCTTCGAAATAAGTTTAATAGAGCAATCCTCTGTAAGCGTTGACTCATCTCTATCTATCAATCTATTTTCCAAAAATAATGCTTAAAAATATATGACTTCATACATAGAATGTGTTGCAACTGCGTAGAGAATCAACGTGAGCTTGTACAGCTCCGAAGAAAGCTGTGGATAATTCAAGAGGTTAGTCGAAATGAACTCAGAGATTTAGACCCAGTAGCCAATTTCCGGAAAACCGTGTGCAATCTACAGTACCGCGACCAGTTAGAAACGACATTTGGTGTGTCGTTTCATTGCATCAAGGATCGATACATCAATCTCCTCAATGAGCGAAACCGTATCTGTCATACGTATCAACCATTTAGGCATGACTCCGTTATGCCAAGCTATTGGTGAGTATGTATTTAATCGATGCTAATATTTTTTTATGACTACCATGATATAGTTAGACGATGTTTCCCAACTTTACATCCCTCGCGCAACGAGAGCAAAAGCGGCAGGAGCTACTCGAACGAGCTGAGCGCCGAGTTCGTCAAGCGAAATCCAAGCGCCTTATGTACGAAGGTGCTTCATGGGCTAGCGATATCGCGAATGGTATCACTACTGTTCCAAAGAAATCAACACAATCCGCTCAGTCTGATATTTCGGTTGGCCCTGACGAGGCTACGCCGGAAGAGTTAAAACAAAGTCTGAATATTGAAAACTCCCAAAAAAAAAAACCTGAGTCCTCAACACTGGTAGATGCTGAAGTTAATGCAACACCTGAAATGAACGATGCATCGACTACTGCAAAGCCTGAGTCCGTTGATGCTTCCAGTACTACTAAGCCCAAAACCAGTGATGGTTGGGTCCACGTGAGCCCCGATATGACTGATGTTGGAGTTGATAATAGTGCGAGAATGACAGATGCTGGTGTTGGCCCTGATAGTCCACTGCCGCAAAAAAGCCCGTCGAAGAAGATTTGTTCGACGAAGGCAATGCTGAGATGAAAAATCAAACAAAGTCAAAGGAAGCGGTCGCTAAAACCTTCGAGGTTTATCCCATCCTTGCAGAACTAAATATTCACCCTATTGCTTCCAACGGCCGGCAGCTTACTAAGTATTATATTGGGATGGATTCTAAGGTGTACAGTATTAAACTGAGAAAATATGTACTAGTTCCGAGCATTGATTGGTCTGAGACGTATGACCATATTGGCGAGGTATTAATTAATGATGTCAGATTCCTCGCATACGTCAATGAGAAGGAACGACGTAATGAGATGGGTAAAGAGGACAAAAATAGCCCATACCAGGTTTGGCAAAATATCGGCTCAAAAAGAAAAAGAATCAATGCCTCAGAAGGAGATTATTCAAACCGCTCTAACAGACTTGACGACAGTTTTGTGTTCGATACTGGAACATCCACAAGATCCGATCAAATGGACAGCAAGCTCAAATTATTTTGGACAATTAGCAAAAATAGGATAGTCCTTGAATCTAACGGATTGATAAAGAAGATTGTACCAATTCTTAATGGTTCCGCAAAATCTTCTCCTATTGACAAAGATGGCTATGTTTGGATCAATGGCAATAGCATTAGCGTTTACGGGAAAGATAGCGATCGTGTTAAGCAAGCAATCACTCAGAAAGTGAACTGGATAATGACATTCCAATATTTCATTAATATGACTAAAGCCAGGGGCCTCGAGTTAGAACTAGTTGGTAGCAATGAAACCAAACACATAAATGATTTTACCCCAGCTAATGGTGAAGCTCAGCATGGGTTAATGAGTGGTATTGATGAAGACATGGACCCAAGCCTATCAAACGCTGATAACGACGCCAAGAATATCTTAACTGATTACTACAGCCAGTTGCACGCTAATAGTATTGATATTCCATTTCGGCTACAACCAATCGTGAAAATCAACGGTGTTGTTAAGTCCCATCCATCATACTACTTTGGGCAGTCGGGGTCTAGACCCCTAAATATTTTAAATCGTGAAAACAAAGCACACAAGCAGGTGAGTGGTGTAGCTTGGAAGGGGCTAATGATGAATATCATGTGGATGGATACCTTTTCGTCCCTACTCAACGGGGCTGAGGACTTGGACCGCTATCTTAATGAGGTTGAATACCCCTTCCCATCGAGCGATGAAGAAGCAGCTAAGATACTTGAAGAAAAGGAGCTTGATAAGAAAAGACGTAAAAACCTGGGTGCTAATCTTGAAATATTGAATGAGGCTATTCTAAAGTCTGTACACGATATTAGACAGCAAAGCGTTGAAGAGTATGAATACGATGACAGCTTGCAAAAGCTTCATGATGAGTCAGAAGCAGCTTTTCAGACATACGGTGAGGCTCAGAAAAGCTATGAAGAAGCTAAAGAGGCTGTTTGAGGGAATAACTCAAAAGCAGCGATATCGGTGTTGAAGGCAGCTACATCAGCTATGAAGGCGACAAAATCGATATATCAAACGAAGGCTAAGCGATACGCCGAGGCAAGCGAGGTATCCGGCAGTGGCGTTAAACGAAAGCTTCAACGTCGAGGATTGCGCGGTGCAGGTGTTGCCCCGCTGGAAGGTGTAGTTCGCCAAGGCCGTACCTACAATCTCAATGAGATCCAAGGATTAGCAACGCCGTCAGCCTACACATACAAGCAGATCGGAAGCAAGTATATTCGTATCCCCGACCTTGATGCTAAAAAGCTCATGATCGTTCAGCCGAATCGGCGTAAATGTGGTCCTAAGTGGGAAATCAGTGACAGCCTCCAAGCCATGATCAAGGCACTTGTCTATAAGAACCGTATCGATCAATCCGCTTACGATAAGCTCAGCGTTGAAGATAAGAAACTGTTCAAGGAGGTTCTATCGATTACTCATCTCCAATACAGCTTCCACGATAAGTTAGAGGATCCTCTAGATACGCTTAGGGCTGAATACGATAAGCTAAAAGGAGAGCTACAACTCGGAAATGACAACCCCAGTATCATCAAGCAGCTCAAGTCTCTCACGGTGGATATGTACAGCAATCGACGGATTGATGATAAAGAGTTCAAAGATATTATCACCCGTTTATTATAAAACCATGTTCTTCTTCAACTCGCGCATTATATCCAGTTCCGGAGGCAGCTATGGTGACAATAGCGACCTCAACGTCGCTGAGTTGAAAGCTATCATGAAGAACCTCATCATTCATTATCGTCCCCAGAAGACACAAGCCGCTGTGTGGGCTACTGACCTCGACAAGCCGTGGAGGCATCTACCCAAACGGAAGGCGGCCGAGTCTGGGCTTACCAGCCAAAACAAAAGTCAAAGTCTGTGAAGACATTTGCTCTATAGAGCAGAGCGGATATACTTAGATGTCTACGTCTGTTTTCTTCTCGCGATAGAGTCTGATTTTTTTATCTCCGATATCGATAGCCATGACAGCATTCTTGCCACTATGTACGTTGTACATTGGGATATAAGCATTATTCCCTATCGAAACCACTCCAGCGTGCATCGTTATTGAACCGATGACTTGGCCAGTTTCAGGGTTAGTCAGGTTCGTTTTGATCGTTTTACTTGGTCCGCAGCCCATGATACTCTATTACAACGAAGTACTCAAGATCTGCTCTATATTTATCGGTGCGAAATTATCCCTGAGCCAATACCATATATAACCCTCTCGTGGAATTCGACAATTCGATCACATTGTAGTTGATCAGTATCAACGACATTAGCGTTAGTAGTCTGAAGGCAAGCGGTCTTCGCCACGAACTGGGTTTGACAGATACCATTCTATATTTACTCAGACATAATCGCTCTCAACTCATTGAGTTCAGCTTTGAGATTATTGATTTGGCCTTGCTGTTCTTGGATAGATTTACACAGTACCGAGGTTAAACTGGCGAGATCGATTCCCCATGGATTCACTGGAAACCCATCCGGATTAAGCTCATCGTTTGCTCCGATATCTACTACTTCTGGTATGACCTTATACAGCTCCTGCGCGATATAGCCAACATGGACAGTCTGCTCTTGAACCATCCTGAATTTTCTAGGTCTCATTCTCATAAGGCTTGCCAAACCATAGGGACAGTCTACAATGTCTGCCTTCAACCTCTCATCGCTTGCATTGGTATAGCCACGCGTAATTAGCATCGCATTTTCCCAACCTGATAGCTCCTACGGTTGAATCAGTACCAATCGCTGGATAGTCAGTCTGAGACCAATTGAATCGATACCTAGCAAATCCATCGCCGCCTCCCTTTACGTGCATGAAATTATTCGCCCATACCTCTCCGCCTGAGTGAATGGTTGCTTCTGGCGACCACGTACTCATACCAACTCCCAGTCTTCCTGAGCTGTTTAGATAAACTTGAGTTGTGTTTCCAACCACGAACCTTAGCGGGTCGCTCGTAGTAGTGCCTAGAGCTACACCACTACTTTCTCCCGCGACATCGTTGTATACCTGAATTTCAAATTCGATTGGAGTAGTAGCATCGTTGGCTATACGCATTGCGCGTTGCCAAGACCCGCTTAGTAAATTCGCACTCGAAACTATATCTATTTTTGCAGTACTGGTTGCTGATCCAAAGCGAATGTATCCTGATCCAAAGCGAATGTATCCTGCTTGAGTGATTCTCATACGTTCAGTCATTGGTGATAATGCATTAGCTCCTGACCGTGTACTGATTGCAAAATCAGCCATTGAATATTGAAGCCTTGTAGCGGTTCTAATACAATATAGATTAACGCTAGGGGTGTACGTTGTCATATCACTAGTACCTTCAATCGTGAACGATAATCCGGCCTGAGCGCCAACCGTATTCCTTTGATTACGAATCATGAGATTAAAATCAGAGGCACGCGTTGTTGATGTAAATAATGTCCCGGCCGCAATCTGACATTGGGTAGAAGTAGTGGATATCAGATTGGTTGACGTTAGAGATGAGATACCTGATGAGATGCTACTATTAGAGTCTAGTACAAGAGCCTTTGATGCTTCTGCAGTTCCTGCTCCGGTGGTAAGATCAAGATAGTTCAGCTCAGCGGTAGATGCTGTGCATCCAGCAAGCTTGTTCAGCTCCGCACCCGTAGCATTGAGAGTATCTCCCCTGAGTTGAAGCGTAGTAGGATTGATATTCAAGGTCGTTGCATTCATAGTTTGAGTACCTGACTTACTAATCGTATCACATGTGATCGTAGGCGATGATATTGAAGTCGAAGCTATAAAGTTTCGTGATATGGTTAGATCGCGAATGCCTGAGTAATCTTTCGTACTATTGAGAACCACAACGCTACTGGCTGAAGCGCCCCCTTCGATAACATTGAGAAAGTAAGCATGATTGAAATTTATCCAAGAACTGACTCCATCCCAAAATTTCAGATTCGGAATGAATAAACCGGTTCCACCAGCGCTAAGGGTTAGATTGCTAAGCGTACCTAGACTATTAATATTAGGCTGAGCAGCAGTTTGTAGCGTTCCTGTTATCGACGTCGCTGTGAGCGAGCTCAGGGTTCCTAGGCTGGTAATGTTGGGCTGAGCAGCTGTTGTTAGCGTACCCGATACATTGCCCGAGCAATTTACAGCGGTTAGAGTACCTAACGATGTTATATTAGGCTGAGCAGCAGTCTGTAGCGTACCAGCAATGTTAGTTGCAGTTAGCGAGCTAAGACCTGTAATGGATCGACTTGCACCAGTAAAGGTTAAACTGCCTCCGATAGTCAATCCAGTAAGCGTACCTAAGCTGGTGATATTTGGTTGAGCAGCCGTCGCTAGCGTTCCATTGATGTTTCCACTCACGGTGAGCGACGAGAGTGTCTCTACACTAGTTACGTTGGTCTGGGCAGCAGTTGCCAATGTACCAGATATGATTCCACTCACGGTGAGGGACGATAGCGTGCCTAAGCTAGAAATATTAGGCTGAGCCGCTGTCTGCAGCGTGCCAGTAATCGACGTTGCCGTCAAACTACTAATAGTAGCAATTCCACCTGATGCACCAAGCACCAGAGCTTTGTTGATAGCGGCAGTACCTGGAGTAATATCAGCTACATACGTTGGTACGCCTGAAACGGAAGCACCAATAACAGTTAGGCTACTACAGCTTAGTGCTCCAAGACCGCTGATGTTCCCACCACTTCCAGGGACAAGCGCTACACCAGGTGATGATACGCCTTGAGAGACACCGGTAATGTACGTCAAGCGATAGTCATACTTGTTCAGATAAAGAGTCTGAGCATAGTCATACGTTAGAAACCCGCTGGCATCCAATTGGAGAAAGAATGCCGGATTATAAATCGGCGATGTGAATATCGGGCTAGGATAAGAAAAACCTGAACTCATTTTTGTTTGATCCTATATAGTTTAGACGATAATCATGAGCGGTATTCCAGATTTCGGAGCTTCAATCCCTAAAAAATTCAAAAGCGCCTCTATGGGTGATATTCCAGCACTTGACATCAAAGCGCTGTTTTGAATCGTGGTTCTGGGGCCATCGTTCTCAGGGAAGAACAACTTATGTATGTTCATCCTCAAGCATTCTCCTTACGTATTTGCTCATCTAACGACCATTACTCGTAATCCTCACCAGGCGTTATATGAGTATCTTCGTGATAAGCTTGATGGCTTTATCACATTCGCCGACCCTGACTCGCCTCCGAGTGTTGAACGGGTACGTCATACACCAATTAATTCCAATAAGCCTGAGCTCGTCATCATCGATGACTACAGCAACGATAAGCTTCTTCAGAAGAATTTGTTCTCACATTACTTCACTAGAGGGCGCCACTTCAAGCTATCAACCATCTTCTTGAGCCACAGCTACTTCGCAACGGACAAGATGATCAGATTGAACTCAGAGTACGTAGCGATCCTGAAAACTAGTTCTAAGCGAGACCTCCAGATGGCTTTTGCGTCCGCTCGTGTCCTTGCAGCTGGGATTCCTCACGAGCTCCCAAGTGTCGTCGTGCGAGCTGCATGCGCTCCATGACTGTCGCGAGCGCTCGACCGTGCCGTTCAACTCCGACGCTGTCCACCGCCAAGCCCCCTGCAGTCACGAAGTCGCCGGCCGCGTCCAAGTCTCAGGCGACGCTGTTTGTCTCCCCTCCCCGACTCGTCCAAGGAAGGCACGGAGTCGGCGATTGCCTCCCGGCGCCAAGCATCTGCCAAGCCAAGGCTGCGCGTCGACAAGAACAGCGGGATGACAGCCTTCGAATATGTATCTGCTATCAGCAACGAAGGTATTTGTTGCTTGCTGCCTACGAGGAGAAATTCGTCCGTCTAAACCAGTCTTAGACTTCCAGCAGTAACCAAAGTAGCAGAAAACTGACAGCCACGTCGCCGCCGATGACGTCTGCAGGGTCGAGCAGGGATGTGGTTCTTGGAGAGGAACTCGGAAGACTGCGTTGAAGCCGAGCGGCTTCTTTTCAGCAAGCTCCGCGACCCCGGGTTTTGCTTCATACGACGAGGTTGTTCCTGTTCTCACAGCACAGTGTGGATCTGCTGCACAAATGTTTTGTGGAGATTGCGAATGGGTTTCCTGTTCTTGCTCGGGAGGCGATAGCATCGTAGCCGTAGCAGAGACGCACCCAACACTCAAGCCACTTTGACACGAGGGCCCTCGTGTCAACATGCATCGAATGCACCCGCAGGTGCAGACACTCCTCGTGGGTGTGCGCCGTCTTGCTGATGCGAGAGAACACGCTGCCTTTGCCGAACATTTTCCCAAGTAGAACGTGAAAAGCTTACGCTTTTGCAAGACGGCCGGCGGTACCCAGTGCTGCAATTCGCACAACTTGTACTCGTACTGGCGTCGCCGCCTTCACCGGAGTGAGCGGTGTGATGGACGAATGCCACAGTTGGTGTCACTGTCCGCGCGCCTCCAGGAGCGCTTCGTCTTCCAGCCTGGTTGTCAGCCCTGCTAAAATCGCGCCTATGTGTTCGTCTGCTGACGAGGAAGCAGCAGTGCGCAAAGCCACCAACGTGGCCTACGATCGACTCGTCAAGAAGACGCAGCATAAAAGCAAGTGTGAAGCAACTAGGCAGATCTTTGGCGTGGGCAATCAAGCCAGGCGTCGGAAGAAGAACTGAGATACATCTCCCTGGAGTAGAAACTCGGAGGCGAAAAATGATGAGCTGAGACTATTGATTCATCAAATGGCTCGATGTTGTAGCAAGTTACCCCTACCGAAGGAGGGGCTCCTTCTGCTCTAGCTTGCCCAGCTGGATACCCCAATCCTTCTTTTCCCACAGAGAGCGCGACGGGACCACGAAGTCGCGCGGCACGTCGCGATGACCGTGCAGCTGCTCGAACGTGGCCAGCATCGGCTCCACACGCTGTTCCCACTTCTTGGTTACTGGGGTCCTCGAGTCGAACTCGATTGCTTCCAACAAGTCCATCTCTCGGGCAATCTGGTCAAAGTAGGCGCCGCCGCGGATTGTATGTACCGCAGTGCCTAGCTCGAGGCCGTGAAACTTCTCGGGCCAAGCTGCCTCCGCCGGGACCTCAAAAGCCGCCGGCACTCGACAATGACCGTGTACTCGATAAAATGCCTTCAAAGCTGGCAAGATGCGCTCTCTCCACTCCGATTTATAGACGTCCCACACAAAACCCAACTCGTCTAAGTGAGTCTTGCTACGAGCGACTTCGGTGCAGTAAGAGCCTTGGCGGATAGTCATAACAGCACTTCCAAGGTTCAAACCCCACGACAGTTTTGGCCAGTTTTCATCCAGTGGCACCACAAATGAAACTGGCACTCGGTAATGACCGTGCAGTCGATGAAAAGTCTCCAGCGCTGGCATGATACGCTCGCTCCAGTCGAATTCGTAGGGATCCCATACGAAACCCAACTCCACCAATCGAGCCCTGTCACGTGAAACCTGGGTGGAGTAAGTGCCTCTGCGAATGCCATTAACGATTATTCCGAGCTTCAGACCCCACGACAGCGTTGGCCAGCGTTCATTCGATGGCACCACAAAGGACCTGAGCACCCGGCAATGGCCATTTAGTCGGTGAAACGTCTCAAAAGCTGGCATGATTCTCTCATTCCACTTCGACTCAGGATCATTCCGCACAACCCCCAACTCTTCCAAGTGACGCTTGTCCGGAATGACGTTCAGCAGCGTTTTCTCTTGACACTTGCGACCGGATAGAGCCAAGCCGAAGCGGAAATTCAGTCGCTCTAGCTCTTCCTGGTCCGCTCTCACCTGCTCGACGAAGTCTCCCCGTTGACGTATATTCTGCACCTTGTTGCCCAAATACTGGTCCCACAAGTACTCTGGCCACTCGGAGCTCCTCGGAATGAGAAAATATGCCGGCACGTCCGTGCTGCTTTCGGCCAGGCCTCGTCCCCATGAGGGACGACGAAGGCGACCGGCACCATCAAGTGCGTCTTGAGCTTGAGAAACGTGAAGAGCGAAGGCTTCACCACCTCCTGCCACGCCACTGAATTGTTTTCAACCAGAGGCCTCCGCTGTGGTCTGTCATGACCTTCCGCATCCGAGGAGGAGTAGAAGCGAAGCAACTCGCAGGGGCGATGGAAGGGGTCGATGCTCCCAGCTACGCGAGGGGATCTAGGCGCCACGGCGACTGCTGCAACGCGTACGGCCCCCGCGCGCAGCAGGCGACTCCGCGCGGACGACACCAGCCGCAGCATTTTGGCAGAGTGATACATACGCAAAGTGCCAAACCCGATTTTCGTCCAATCATAACTTTACTACTAGAGTACCCCCCGATTTGGAGAAGTCAATCTACTTCCCCTATTTTGTTCTGGTTCGCCCCTGTAGTGCTGGCATTACTGTAGTTAGTTGCTAGTAGACAGTGAAGCTTGCTGATCTCGCTCCACAGGTGGGTGAGCTCTGGAACTATGGCATTTATAGCCCTGGGCTTCTTTGAGGTCCGAAGTCGTACTCATCGCCACTTTGACACGAGAGCCCTTCGGCCCTCGTGTCAACATGCATCGAATGCACTGTCGGTCGAACACGCTGTTCAGCTTCCGGTGGGTGGCCCTCCTCTCGGTTCGCGTCCTTCCGGCCTGTAGCTGCGTTGTCTACCAGCAGCAGCGCACCATGCACGGGTCGCACCAGAAGATAGCACCCCCCCGCTACTGTCCTTGCGGCTCCGACGACGCCTCCTTTCATCAATCCTTTGGCTGATTGAGATAGAACACCAGTAATCGCCCAGTCAACTCGTGGGCGAAGACGACGACCCCCGTGGCCACTCCAGTGAGAAGCGAGCTCGGGCCGCGAGCGGAATAGTCGACGGCGTTGTAGCGCAACTGTCGCAGAGGTTGATCTTGTCGTGGTGTCGCCATGTTTACGCCTTAAGATTAGAGCTGTCGACGTCGGGACGTCGCCCCGGCTAACGCCCGGACGTCCAAAAGTCGTCGAGCCGACACCCAGTCGACATCCAAAAGCATGTCACTATTGCGAAATAGGATCCTTAAGACACCGCGAGGTGGCGCACCCTGCATTAGCCTCATTGAGGGACGTGGGTACATACACATAATGTAGACTGGTGGTAAAGCGCGTTCTCAGTGAAACTGAGAGGGGTAACTTCTCCGCTATAGATCGCGATAGGGTCAGGTACAAACACTGCCGACGTTAATGCTTGCGATGACCTACATGTGAGCCCGTGTTCCACTCAATCAATCTCGTAATTGGATCTAGAGATGTATGCAGTTGCGCAACTCCCAGACAACAAAGGAACCATTGAAGGCGCGTCATGGTCTGGTGTATTCGGCCCAGCCGGAGACGACGCCTTTGACAACATGGCTGGCGCTGACACTCAAGTCGCTGTCTGAGCGCAGTCAATACTTGCTAGTGCGTCTCATGCAAGCTACTCAGCTTAGATCAGCGTCCACCCCTTATTTTGTAGTTCATCCGGGGCATGGACATCCCATCGTTCAGGCAGACTCGCTGCTAGCTGGTCTACAGTGTAGACCAAAGGTGTAGACTCTACAGCATTCGATAGCGGAGCTCTTCCAAGTGAAAATCATTATCGTACTTGGCTGTTTGTTTGAGTCGCGGATACAAGTTGATTGAGGCAATGGGCACGTCTGAGGTCAGGAGATTTCATTGGCTTCACCAAAACTCCTTTTGACCAATCAGCAGAAAGTCGAGCGGAGGATGTCGGCATGGTGTCGGCTCGCCGTCGGCTGACACCCACGGACGTCGACAGAAAAAGACGTCGGGTCAAGGTCAAAACCCTCGACGTCGACAGCTCTACTTAAGATCAAGCTTGGGCTCGGCCGCGACGTCAAGTTGCAGCGTACTGCGTGGCGGAGCCCAGTAAGAAGGACAGGAGCAGCGGGGCACACGCGCGGCACCTATGAGCTACGGCAAGGATTGCGGCAGGAGATTCGAGTGGCTGGGTGCACGGGGCACAGGCCGTAAGTGGGCGAAGGCACACGCTCATGACTGCATGAAGACCGGATCTTGAGAGATCGGGAAATGACTGCGGCCGGGCGAGTTCCGTCCGAGGTCTAACTGCCTTGAGCTTGCGAGAGATGGCTGACCAAGGGCTCTGATTGGGCGGTCACATTCCCCGCGCTTTAGTGCCCAGAAGTGGTGATGGTAAAGAACCTGAAGGGTTGAAAACTTACACAACGTTGTCAAATTTTAGAACCGGGTCTAAACATTTGTAGAGGTTTAGAACCCAGCTAGCACAATCGCACCATACTTTTATAAAAGACCCTACCATAATAGAAGACCTATTCAGCGCTGCTCCGCGAACGTTGCTCGTGTTCTGGGGCAATCTGGGGGCGACATCGCGTCGCATCTTTATCTGTCGAACCCAATGTCAGAAGTCAAGCCACTCGCTTAGGCATTGCTGCTAGCGCTTCCGCGAGCCTTCCCAAGTCCAAATGGAGCAGTAGTCACCTCCTCCTTCGGCCCAGCGCCGTTGCAGTCACGCTTCACCGAGGTTTCCAGTCGTGCTAAGCTCTCCATCTCCTGAACAAGGTAGAGCGAGTCAACCATCACCGGTCTTTCCGGCTGTGTGGGGGTCTACCGCAGCCGCGGAGCGGCAACGTCGTGTCTCGGAGTCGCCTACTATCCAACAAGAGTCGAAGTCGGAGTCGCGGGACTCGCCTCAAGCCATCTCCGCGGGGCAGCAGCGTACGTCGCCCTCGCCGGGGGTTTCATCGCATCGCTCTCCGTCTCGCAAGCCTGGCCGCCCCGCGCATCCTGTATGGGAACACTTCGTGAAGAAACCAAAGGGCGACGGCAGCGGAGTGCAGATACTGCCACAGCCGCATTAACACGGGCCAACCAGTTCGGTTCATGGTCCCGCATTTGGTCGGCTGTAACGCAGCGCCGCCACGCATACGCGAACAATGGAGTGAGTTCGCGAGAGCTGACGCAGCTAGGAAGCAGCAGCGGTCGGCTCCGGTTACGACTAGCACTGGTGCTCCTCCGCTAGCAACTACTCGAACGGACTTGCCTGTTGGTGGAAATGTTCTACCTTCGGTTACTCAAGAGCAATCCGATTTCGCGTTTGCTCAAATGATGTTTGGATGTGCGCTATCGTTTCTTCTCGTGGAGTCTCCATTCTTCCGCCAGTTCATACAGTTACTCGCGCCTGGACTGATAATCCCGTCCCGACACAAGATCGCCGGAGTCATGCGGCAGCGAATGCGCGATGAATGCAGAAAGTATGTGATTCAGCTGATTAAGCAGCAGCGTGTGGTCTCTGTTGTTACTGACGCATGGAGCGACACCAACAACGCAAGCATCGTCAACTTTATGGTCGTCGCCCCTGGTATGCCAGCTCTGTTTTGGTCATCACTACCGACGGGTACCTCTCAGCATACCGGGGCATACATGGCGAAAGAGTTGGAGCGGGTAATAAACGAAGTCCACACCGAGACGGGGGCTGTCATTGCAAGTGTTATGACGGAAAATGCGAGCAACATGGTGAACGCATGGCATGGGCGCATTTGAAAGCCAAGCTACCCATTTTCGCTGGTGGATGTGCTGCCCACACCATTAATCTGTTGATCCAGGATGTGTTCAAGTTCTCGTTCTTCAAAGCTATCCGGAAGGAGGCTGTCGCTATCACGAAGTTCGTTCGAGACCATCACGCGCTTCTAGACGAATTTCGCAATCTCCAGTCAACTGTTATTCAGGTGCATGATGATTTGCTAGATCAGTTTCGGTCGCTTCACCAAGCCACAACTCTCCCAAGCACGGATCGGCGCCGTGCTCTCGTTCTACCGATTCAAACCCGCTGGTACACACTTCATGCCTGCCTCCGTAGCGTAATGACAAATATGGTGGTTATCAAGAAATTATTCGATGCATCGGATAACGCTGAGTTCCTGTCGCGTTACCAAGTCACTGCTGCCAATCGAACGTCACTTGACAAGGTGATTGCAATTATTGATGATCCGGATTTCTGGGAACGCTTAGAGCACGCTGTAAAGCTGATCGACCCGATTGTGGAGATGTTGCGAGAATTGGAGTCCGATAAGTGTGCAACATCAAGAGTGTACGCGTTGTTTCGACGCCTGAGAACACACAGTATCTATGAAACCAGCAACCGCGTGATCCCAACCGATCTACTTACTTCCATTAAAACTCATATTGAGTCGAGATGGAAGTTTGTGAAGACGGACGCCATAAAAATCGCGTTTCTACTGGATCCATCCACTGACACAAGTGACTTCATGGAGAATGACATGAACGAAAGCGTTGCAGCAGCAGTTGCGTTTGCCGAACGAGCCCAATTGCTTGGTAGCACGTCTTCGACAGCGTTCACGGCAGCTCTGTACGCGTTTGGAGCCTTGAAGAAGGGGTGGTCGGCACAGGAGAAGGCTCAGTATGCTGCTGCAGCACCGAGTCACTGGTGGGAGGACAATTCGCAATTCTTCGAAAAAAGCCATCCTAAAGTCTACGACCTCGCGAGACTGGTGTTTGCTGTTCCGACTTCTTCTGCAGCAAGCGAACGCGCTTGGAGCATATTTGACTTTATTCACAGCAAAAAGCGCAACCGGCTGACGAAGGACAAAGTTGAGAAGCTGGCCTACATCTACATCAACCTGGCCTGGCCGCGACGACGTCGACATGGATCCATGTAGCGCGCGTTCGCGAATACCCAGAGAGCGTAATGGGTCCGGAGACAGAAATGGTTGCAGAGCAGGTGTAGCGGCTCGATCCTTTCAACTATGTCCAGCTTGCATGCCAACCGCAGACCGCCGTCCGCAGTGCCGAAGGTGTTGCGTTGCAAACGTCTATTTTTAAACGGGGTTCTGAGCCTCATGGTTAATGAAACTTTATTTGAAAAATGTTTAGAACGGTTCTTTTCCATAACTACCCAGAAGATTGATAGAGACTACGGAGTGACAGGAGGGTCTCGGCGGGTCAAAATATACCGCCTGCCGAGGCCTCCGAAGTTTCATAGTGGGTACACTTTATGCCCAGTAGCAGTTCGGATTTAGGACGAAGCTTCGTCCGATTGTAGGATCAGCTCGAAAGCTCGGTCCACACGTGATATTTGTATAGACCTTAGTGATTAGCTATAGGAGAGGCCTGACAGTCTCTAATCATTAAAGAGAGCAGAATTCTCCCCCCAAGCCACACAAGGGTCATGTCCGTCTACGGTAAGTCGCTAAGCTTAGCGTAGGGTCTGGATACACTCAGCTGCACGGGGTATGTC